ATAACTTTCTTATCTTTGAAGGGATTTTGTCAATACTTGCCACAACTGTTCACAATAATGAGACGATGTGTTATGTGCAAAAACCAGTAACGGTCACACTTAAGAGGTAACAAAATAACGGAGTCTGTTATATGGTATATTTTGTGTCCCGTTCATAACTTCTTCATAGATCAACGGATTTTAAAAATACTTGGTATTAACAGTCACAATGATAAGATAATATGTCATGCGTAACACCTGTGTCAGGCGCAAAACATGGGTCCCTACCTCTCTGGTCACACTTAATGTTCATAGGTTAACATAGTCTGTGATAGGGTACATTTTGTGTCCGATCTATAACTTCGTCATAGTTCAAGGGATTTTGAAAATACTTGGCACAAATAGTTACAATAATAAGATGCACAACACCTGCATCCCTACCTCCAAGGTCAAGGTCACACTTCAAAGCTTAACATGATTGATTTTTAAATTTTTTGTTGCATTTTATTTCTTTAAAAAAATTATTGTTGCATTTGCAGATCTGGTAATGATCATAATTTTGGACTGAAAGTCCTGAGATACATACCTCAATTTTAATACCTCAATTTTTTGAAATAGCACGATTTTATGCTTCCTGAGGCGGGGAACGTTTGTAACTCTGTTAAAAATTCTTGTTACTTTTTGTACTGGATATTTGGCTGAGGTACAACTGGCTGGAAAGCGAAATATTTTCACCTCGATTTATGGGTGTTTTGTTTTAAGGCTATCTAAAATATACCTGTCAATAACTCAGTTATGTGCAGTGCACTTTGAATATGCGACAAAATGTCTACAATTTGCCAGAACGATTAAACCTACATCTGGTATGTTGTCTTTATCCTTGACAGAGGCTACAGCATCTGAACAACAGCCATACTGCAGTAGCATCAAAAATAAAACAGTCGGCTATACTCGAAGCATGTGCATTAAACTCATCATTGTTAAATGTTTTTAGGTTTTCAAGTTTTTCAAGGAAATCAGATTTCTGTGTTGACATCATCTGTGGACAAACTCAAAGGAACGGGGGCATTCCCAAATGATAAAACCCTGTAAAAAAATGCAACTTTCTTAAATGAATTTATTGCAACAAGTCTTAAATACATCTCTTCACCATCAATAGGGACAGTTTTCAATCTAAACCTGCCTTTGAACTTTACTGACCTCCTTTAAAGGACTTAAACTTTTGGCATAGGATCAAAGAATCTCTTTTCGGGAGGTTTACAATTATCTACAAAAAATCCCACTTTGGGTGTGGAGCTCAATAAAAAAAAGTATGATTGTCAATCCTAGCACATATACTTGCCATATGTATCTATAAAACTTAAGCTGTTTTGAACAAAATTCATATTTAAACGTCTATAATTATAGACGTTGAAATATGACTTTCTTTTTCAAAACAGCTTTAATTACGTTTTATTGATACATATGACAAGAATATGCGCTGGGATTGACAACTATACAATTTGTTTCAATTTTAACGCATTTTGAGCTCAACACCCAAAGTTTCTGTGCAACAAAACTGTCTCACACAAAAACTAACAATATTTCGTTGGCCTGTTTAACTTTTTAGACAATTTAGTAGGTTCCTTTCAACATCTTATGGAAGTTCAACACCTTTGCAATGTTTAAAAGTTGAAAAGGTGGATAAAGATAAAGAAAATGGATCGATAAAGGTGTCACTTTTGAATACACACAACATCTTTTTGACTTTGTATGGAAATGTGTATCTGTGTGTTTATTTGAGCAAGAATTATTGTCAGATGTGTAAGCTATGGCATACTTAGCAATTAATGGCCTTTAAATTTACTATTTCACGTTTAAATGTTGAATTCTGCTTAAGCCGGTGCTAGGGGGCGTGGACGGTAACTTGCACTTTCCAGTACCGTCCATGAACAGGCTCAATCAAACCGAGCCTGCAACATTTTCAATTTTGCCGTGTTGGGCTTTCTTTAGGGATTCTGTATTTATCTATTGCAAGAAACCAGTGAGAGAGAGCACAATCACTATGGGTTAGACCTATAATGCTTCCAGACGATTCCAGTGCTTTATTTTCAGTGACTTCAAGGATATAGTCAAGCTGTACAGAATAAAAAAAAACCCAGTACTTAGTTCAGCAACAAACTTGCCTTCTTAACTCAACTGTAAATCTGTAATTCTCTAACAGCAAATAGGCCTGAATCTTGAATATATTGTTCTAACGGAAGAAAACAAGAATATTGAAGTATTGATGTTGCATAATGATTTCCTTGCCATAAACCATGCATGTTAAATTAGTAAGGAAACCCGTGACAAGTAATCTAGGACAGTGATTAAACTACTCCTTACATAAACAATTTATTCAGAACATGACAAAAAATATTATTTCCCAAATTTGCTAATAATAATAACTTGGTTACCCATAATGAAATGATAGGTTCTTTTTAACATATAAAAGTGTACCCTTGATTACCCTTGCTCCATTTTTTTTTGAGGGGTGGGGGCTGGGGGCACGGGTACACATGCAATAAAACTGCTAAAATATAGAAAAGAGGTCAAGATAGAAAAGAGTTGATAAACTTAACATTTTTTGCATAAATTATGCATTCTAAAATGATGCAAAAGAATTCATATATTTGAAAATTAAATTAACCTTCTTTATTTAACTGGAAAAAAAATATTTGTCATGAAAATACTAAATACCAACGTGCGTTTTATTTTTATATTCTATCATGTTCTACGAAAGAAAAACAACGTTAAAAGTCGATTATTGCAATGAATATCAAAAGTGAGTTTCAATTCATATCCAAAAATCTTCATTTGGTAGGATAACATAAAATTCCTGCAGAACATTAAATGTTTTTTTTATTGTTAACCCATTGCTTAAAGCAAACTTTCTTGCGAAACTTCTATTTTATCAACAAATCTTTATAAGAAAATACAAATCATGCATGAAAATTTGTTTTAAATGATATGTTTATCTTTGTACAGTCTTTACAGTGACTTGAATATGTGATAAATATTAAAAATGTATCCCATTATATGCAAAATTTTAGCCATGTAAGGTTAAGGGTGAAGTTCAGTATCAAAAGCGGCCATCTTGGCGGCCATCTTGGATTTCTCTGAATGCCATCATTTATGCCAATTTATGCCGGTGGTTTCATAAACTACAAACATTAACGAACATTTTGGTATATAACAATGCTTGTTGCAATGACTGTCCCACCTACCCTATTTTTTATCAGACTTTTCAGGTCATAGTCACTCTACCATTAAGTACAATGGTATACAAGATTGCATTCATTTTTCGTTAAAATTTCATCTTGTTTATAATTTCATCTAGGGCTGTGCATTGCCATTTTTTTCTGTCATGATACATATCACGATACTTTTTTTTCCAAACGATGCAATTCACAATATGTATTGCATACTTTTATGAAATGCGATGAATATTGCAATTTTTATGTTACGATGCGATACGTATCACGATACTGACTTTCAGACTTTATCTATATTAAAATTTGGCCATTTGTTTACAGCATAATTACGAATATATTATAAAACTATAACAATAACTCTTTAACTTGTTGTTATAACTTGGTTTTCAATTTTGATCTTCTAACAATTTACTTTTCTGATAACTTAAGGATTAAAGGTATTTTTAGTAATACCATAACAGCAAATTGATATCTATTATTCTACACTTAAGTCCACTACTGTAAATATGACAGTTTAACAATTTCTGTCTTACAACACACCACTAAAGGTTTTTCTTGTGAAAAAAAAAAATATAGTAAAGTGAGTTACAATTAGGTCAACAACTGTGAAAATAACAGTTCATCAAGTCCACTCTCGATTTCTCGAAAGATGTGTGCTCAACCCCAGAGTATTTTTTTTTTGAGTTTGCAAATTTTGCAAATTATACAACACTGTCTGTTGGTTCTCCAAAAGCCACAATGTTCCCAAACTCGTGAATTATAATGACGAGGGAGGATTAACTATAGTTTCCCCTTCTAAATATTTTGCAGTCTACATGTTTGCTGGGTTTTTTTACGGGAAAATGATGTCAGCGGAAAAAAAGTAGAAATATTTGACGAATATTACATGGGCATAATGTCATCATCACTATTTTAATCCGACATCAAGTGCGACTAAATTTATAAATTCATGTTTGTAAGTTGTATTTTGTTGAAAACGTATAGATCTCTAATTATTTTTATTTTATTATAAACAAGTTCAAAGAACACCAGCCCATTTATATGAAATTAATAAAACTTGGTTAAATGATTGCGGACATGGTCAACACTTAACTTGAAACGAGACGACAACGATATGATAATAGTCGCCCTTGTTCATTATTTTCATCCAAATATTTTTCTTTTTTCAATCTTTCAAAAAATACGTTTGTCTTTATTTTCAACGAAAATATTGTTAGTGTATTGCGATACTTTCCCTCTATATCGATATATCGGGAGGTGAAAAATGTATTGGATCGCGATATATTGGAATTTGTAATTTTATTACAATGCATACATCGAGGACAGGGCAGATCGCAATGTATCGATGCATCGATGAATCGTTACACCTCTAATTTCATCACCTTCTATCGTAATTTCATAAGAATTTTCCCCCTTTCAAACTTTCTTGACCTTTTAACCCTCATCTTACAATCCCTGGTGCAATCAATACTCAAAGAATACCAATATTTAGAAGTTTGTTTGTTGGTTCAACTTTTATGTAACATCGACACAGTATATATGGCAACTATCCAGCTTTACTGGTGGAGGAAGACCTCAGGTGCCCTTCCATGCAATATTTCAGACACAAACAGGCACTTAAGTTGAACATTACATAAGCTAGTTGGATAGCTTCCTCACATGAAAGAATCAAAATTCCTTGTCGCAAATCGAACCCACAGCGGTTAGGGACAAGTGGTTTGAAGTCAACGACCTTAACCACCTGCCACAGATGCTCCTAAATTTAGAAAGTAAACTTCAGAAACTTACATCTTTATCTGACTTCAACAATCTAGAAGCAAACATATAAGATTCATCTATCACAGATTCTATGTCGTATTTGCCACTTCTCTTCATGTGACGTTCATTTTTCTGCAACATCAGAGCTATTGTTGTAGTCACTGCAACACATGACGCCTCACATCTGTCATATACATAAAATGTAATAATAGTTAAAAACTTGAACAGCAAAATTAACGAAATAAAGACATCAAATAACTTGCTTAAATTTAAAAGCATAAAAAATTAGGACTGTCGGGGGTCTTTTTTTATTTTTCCCCATAGCCATGATTAATATACATGTAACTTGAAGTTGATCACTAGACAATGTTACATTACAAATATTAAATCTCTAGTCCTTGTAACTTTTTACTTCATTCATAACTTTACACTTTACAAAAGACCAATTAGATAATGTTATATATCAAGTTATCAACTATCTAACCTTTAAATCTTGTAGTTTTAAGAAATTTCTTAGTTTCTTATACTAAATACATGAACAAAGTGACCCTCTAGAGGGGGAACAAACAGTATTATTTATATTTGTTTCAGGAAAGATTTCTAAACAAAATGTTCCACAAAATTTGAAGTAACAAAAAATACAGTAAGTAGGGATTTTTTTTTAAAACTCAGAGCCATGATATTATAACTCTGAAGAACACCTCTATGTATGCCAAAAATATCTAAGCTCTGATCCAGGCAGTTTTAGGCAAGAAGATTCAACTTAATCACTCTCAAGCACTCTTTGCTCAATCATGATAAAATGCAGAGAAAAATCCAATTTACAATACACAAAGTTATCAATGACTCTGTCTTACAATACTGTGAAATGCTTGCATATTCATAAACAGATACAATATTCTTGTACTAAACCACATTTCAAAGACTGTCAAAAGGTTATCAGATAAGCACATTGTCCTTTATATATGTCAATGAATGTTCTGGCCTGCTTTTATATAGTTTTATCTACCTTTTGTTTCCACTTAACTGCTCTTAAGGGCATACAACTTGTTGCATCTTAATTGTCAGATCATTATAATTTAAACAAAATGACATCAGTTTGTATTCTTGTTCTCATATTGGCAGTAATGCCTGTTTGTTTTGGACAAGATGACTTTACAACACTTGTAGAAAGGATAAAAGCTGTGGAAGCAAGAGGTAATTTACCTGTAACAATTTTATTCATAAAAACAACTGAATATGCTTTAATACTCATCTTTATGACTGTTAAAAAATGTTTTTGTCAGATGAAGAAATATGAAAATGTCATAATTATGTAATCATATTATGATCTCCTATTGCTCCAATAATGTTAAATTAATTACATACATGTAATCTATCTCACTTGAATTAAGTTCATCATAATATTAATACCAATCAATCTACCAATCAAGCATGTTTAACAGGAAGACAGGTTACACTTTCATTTTTTATAGCATTATATGCTGTAGAGATGCTTTTAAAATCATCTCTTTTACCTACAGTATTTGTAATTTTACAACAGAAATACAATGTAATCCAAACTTAGCAATCAAATAACACATTAGACATTTAAACTAAAACAAGGTTCACAATTTCGGGCATATATTCTTATCTTTATGTTTATATCTAACATTTTTACACATAATTACATGTACAATGCTGTACAGTAATATTTTAAGAACAGCTATATGAAATAGGAACAATATTCTAACAAAAAGAGTCTCTACATGTTTCAAGACAATTAAGAGAAACATCACCCGAAGATTAAAACTGTATAATGTCTACGCATTAAATATTTCAGATATGGATCACTTACTACGGATAAAGCAACTAGAGAGGCAAGTTCAAAACTCAAATAAAAAGCTGAACCTTATGTCTGCCACCAATCACAACCTTCAAACTGAACATGCTACCTTGTTACAAAAGTTAACAGATCAAGAAATAACCAAAGCAACATTGAGGACTGAATTAGATAATCAAAAATCCATCTCAGAGGAAAGTTCACGCCGAACAGCAGTTTTACAGTCAACTGTGAATGGAATGGGTGCTACAATAGCAAAGTTAAAGAGAATATTTGCCAGTTTCAAGACCAGCTTCGAAGAGCACTCAAATGATAAAACAGAAAACAAGTATCACAAAGGAATAAAACAGGCTGATACTGCCAGCAAAGAGCTTTCTGATGCTAGTTTCTCCAGTAAATATCTGAAAATGCCATCTTTGGATAACAACAAGGAGAACATATCCCAGGGTCATGCTGACATTTCTAAGACAAAAAGTCTTTATGGTTCTCTGATAAGTTTTGTTGAGGAAAAAGGTGGTGAAACTAAGGCCTCACAGAGAATAAAAGACAACAAAACAAGACAAGCAGGTTAGCTTAATTCATACTTTAATCATTTCTATGTTAACAAGGATTTGTAACTGAAATACCAACGTCCCGTCCCCCGCCTCGGGGAAGTTTTATATGAAGCATAAAATTGTGCTATTTCAAAAGATTGAGGTATGGATCTCAAGACTTTCAGTCCAAAATTATGATCAATGCTAAATCTGCAAATGCAACAATAAATATATTAAAGAAATAAAATGGAACACAGAATTTAAAAATCTATCATGTTAAGCTTTGACCTCTTAGTCTGACCTTGACCTTGGAGGTAGGGGTGCAGGTGTTGTGCATGACATATTGTTACGCTCCTGCGCTTGGTAGTGTGAGCCTTAAACTGTTCTAGATGTGAACTGCTCCCTGCTGGCCAGATCTATTTGTAGTCTATCTGTCTGATCCCTGTCTGTCTGACAGCTCCTCTGTAGACTGCAACTCTATGCTGCCCCGTACTGTTTGTTAGTCTGCTCACCGTGAAGTTGTGCACCTTATTCTGCTGTAGTATGCCGCAGCTATCCGTTTTGACTGCTCTCCGTGACTAACTTTGTCTTGATGTAGACAGCAACTATCTTTTCTGGCTGCTCTCCGTGATTTTACGTCGTCTGCTACTGATAGTTGACTGGCCACTGAGCACGCACAAAGTGTGAACTTCAACGTTAAAATAATTAAGGAGGGAAAAATTACAAATACTTTTTAAAGTTTCTAAAGTTTATTAAACAGCTTAAATATAAATTAACTGTAAGTTATTATGTCACAAAAAATCGTAGTGTTACATACACATACAGTTTAAAGTTACAATCTAAAATTCCCTCGCTAAAGTTTCTAATCAAAATAAGAAAAGTTTGAACTTCACAAAAATAAATGTCAAATTCCTTAATAAAATCGTTAAATCCCAAAATAAACTAATAAAATCGTTGTGCACCAGAATAATTTCGAATAAAAGCCAAAGTATTGAGAATTTTAAAGTAAAAGCCAAAACGGTGCACAAAGTGAAATTTTGGATGTTGAAGCTCCTGACTGAAGGAAAGCTGGCTATTTATATGCCACAGTCCCCACACATTCCACAACTTTGTGGAAAGGACGCTCCACAGCCATTTTTGTGGGCTCCACAGTTTTTCTCGTGGAAAGACGTCCCACAGATTTTCTTGTGGGAGGAACGCTCCACAGCTTTTTCTGTGGGCTCCACAATAATTTTGTGGGATATCTTCTGCACCAAAAATAGGCACCTATTCAACAAAATATATACATCAAAACTTACAATAAGAATAATCACATTAAAATATTACATTTTCTAAGTAACAATATAAGTTAACAAATTATGGGATAAAGAACTATCCCTTGCATTCACTAGTGCCTACGTAATAGCAGTTGACGTAATAGTCCAACATGGCCGACAAGGAAAAGTGCATTTCAAATTATCATAAATAAACAGTGTTAACAATTATATTCAGATGGATTTATAACGCAGATTTACATATTAAATGAGGCTGCACCATAAACAATTAAACTTTAACATCTTGAGTGTGAAATAAAGGAATTAACTTTTATGACAGAAATCACGAAAACAGATTATAAACACAGGATTCTACCATGGATAACATTTAGGGGAAATCTTCCAGAATCAGGAAGGATTAAATGCTGGCACAATACGTAGATTTAAGTTGATGTCCTGTATGTTTCATTAGGACACCACAGAATTTTACTGTGTTGTCGCCAGTAAAAGCTTCTCAAAATGAAAGTGAAAGTAGAAATAAACAAGACTGAAATCCAGTGAAATCACAAAAGGTAAAATTTCCAGGGCATTACAATATGATCTTATTATTGTTACTATTTGTGCCAAGTATTTTAAAATCCCTTGAACTATGAAGAAGTTATAGATCAGACACAAAATAAACCAATTACAGACTATGTTAATCTTTGACCTCTAAGTGTGACCTTTGTGGTAGGGACCCATGTTTTGTGCCTGACATATCATCTTATTATTGTGATTATTTGTGCAAAGTATTTTTAAAATCCCTTGATCTATGAAAAAGTTATGGACTGGACACAAAATATACCAAATAACAGACTCTGTTAACCTTTGACCTCTAAGTGTGACCTTGACCTTGGAGGTAGGGGTGCAGGTGTTGTACTTGACATATCGTCTTATTATTGTGACTATTTGTGCCTAGTTATTTCAAAATCCCGAAGAAGTTCTAGATCGGACACAAAATATACCCTAAAACAGACTATGTTAACTTTTGACCTCTAAGTGTGACCTTGAACTTGGAGGTAGGGATGCAGGTGTTGTGCATGACACATCGTCTTATTATAGTGACTATTTGTGGCAAGTATTTACAAAATCCTTTGATCTATGAAAAAGTTATGGACCAGACACAAAATATACCCTGTAACAGACTATGTTAATCTTTGACCTCCAAGTGTGACCTTGACCTTGAAAGTAGGTGACTGGTTGTTGCGCATGACACATCGTCTCATTATTGTGAACAATTGTGGCAAGTATTTACAAATTGCCTTCAAAGATAAGAAAGTTATGGACCGGCAATGACATATACCCTCAAATAGACAATGCTGACCTTGAATGAGCAAGTGCGACCTTGACCCTGGAGGTAGGGATCTTGTTGTTGCGCATGACACATCGTCTTATTATAACAAACATTTTTGCCAAGTTATTTCAGATTCCTTTGATAACTGACAAAGTTATGGACGGACAGACGTCCGGACAGACGTTATTACTATATCCCCCTTTTTTCTTCGAAACGGGGGACAATAAGGGTTAAATATTGTAACCGATAAAATCAAATGAAGGGGATGATGAAGGGGATGACCATGTTAATTATAATTAAAAACATTCTAACAGAGTTTATGTATCAGATTCCATTCAACAGGACAGACATTTTTTTTGTTCCCAAATTTTAGGGATATTTTGAATAAGGCTCTTTAAGTAGGAAAATCATTTGTTATTATTACTGAAAGTTGAAATCCATAGATTTACAGCCCAATACTTTTTTACCTTGCAATTGTATTCC